CATTGTCCCCACTCCTGCTCCTGGGACAGAGAAGTAGGACGGTGACCTACCCGGAGGTGAGCGGTGTCCTTCCCTGGGTGCATGGTAAAAACACTGTACAGGACAGCTCGCAGGAGGCCTGATTCCAGCTCCAGTGGCGGCTTCAGTTTGCTGGCAAGAGAGAGGAGCCTGTATTAGATTTTGCAGTACCAGAATGGCGCTGACACCGCCATGGACATGAAACGTCAGAGAAATAGGCACCGGCCAGCAAAAATGGAAACGGAGGTGCCAAGGAGCGCAGTGACCTGTTAGGTAGGGACCTCCCCACCCTACCCAAACCGGCTCCAGGGCCCAGGTCCTTCATGGGGTTGGACAGGAAAAGCCCCCTCTTCCCAAATCCACAGTGTCCTCCTGCACAGGCAAGGTTTGTAACTGGGACAATGTCTGTGGCGGGGGGAGACAAACACCCCTTCTTGGGGGATCCCAGATAACATGGGAGAAGTGCCCCCTATTAGGGGGTTATGACTTCTATGGGACAGGACCCGCCTGCCGGGGGTGAGGATGTATCAAGGGGCAGGACAGACTCAGCGCCAGCTGAGCAGGGGGATTTTTGTACCTCATCTCTGCCCTGGAGATGCTGCTGGATGACCCTGATGGCAGCTTCCTCCGGGGATACGTCCTCCTCCTCCTCGTTCTCCATCTGGACACTGGAGGTCCCTGCACCGGGCACAAAAGGAGAGAGGATAACTCCTGCTGCCGCTGAGGGGAAGGATGGGGTGCAGTGGAGAGAGAAGGCTTAATGTGCCTCCTTCCTCTGTAAGGAACCCCATGGCAGAGAGGGCCCAACCCTGCCCCTCCCAGAGACGCCCTCAGCCCCATCAGCCTCAGGGCCTCATAGGGTGACCAGACATCGCGATAAAATCAGCACTGTCCCGATTTTTAGGTGTTTGTCCCGCATCCCGATATTTCGCTCCGCCGGCCTTTTTTTTTTTTCCGCCCGGCAGCACTCGTTTTTATTTATTTTTCTTTGCTCTGCCGGCAGACCCCCCCATGTGCCCGATATTTTCTTCCTCTCATCTGGTCACCCTAGGGCCCCATAG